AAGAGTAAGAGGTCATCTTTATTAATTATCCGGGGTAGGGACTGGAGAGATGGCTCAGCAGTTAAGGGCACTGGCTGTTCTTGCAGAGGCAAGATAGTTGCAGCTAACAACTATCCACAACTCCTGGTCTATGTAATCTGATGTCATCTTCTGGCTTCCGTGGGCATTGCATGACACCAGGACACTTATATACATGCAGGCAAAACTCATACATGTAAAATTAAAATAAATAAATAAATTATAAGATATCTGGTGTATTTTCTTAGTCTTGAAATAGCAAGATTCTTCAAAGTCGTATCTGAGGTGAGTCTCATGAGAAATCCGTGCTCATTTCTAACATGTGTATGACTATCTTTCTTGTACATAACTCTCTCCTCCTCCTAATGTCCATTCTTAAATCTATATGAAAACCTTTTCTTAACACACTCCAACTTTGCTTCAAAAAATAAATAGTATTTGGGATAGTTCAGAAAGCCAACGAGTACTGCAGTTCTTATTAACAAGCACTCATCGCTGCCTACCATGCTCTAAGAGCTGGGGTGACTGCTTATGACTTTTTTTCAAAGGTCGTTTCCTGTCTTCTCCCTATTCTTTATTTTCATGTTGCCAGCTTTTCTGCTGTTTCTTGACTCTTCAATTCTTGTAATGCTCCATGGTGGAAAGTAAACACTCAGCTCTTTTCTATCCATCTCTGACCCCATCTGTGTGCAGAACAATTCCACCCACACTTCATCCTCCCAGGAGAGCCCCTTATAGCTTTCCCTATGGTTCTGTGTGGTCCACTAGTAATCCTGACTACACTCTACACCAGCAGCACATGCCTTTTTGTGGTTGTCGCTAGTGCTCTGTGACAAATATTTGGTTCTCTATCCTTAGATATAAGATGGGGCTTGCTTTCCAACTGACTTCAAAGTTAAATATTAGTTGTGGTCATGTGACCAGCTCTAGCCAATGAGTTACAGGCCAAAGAGTTTCTTAACACATATGGAATCCTCCAGAGCTCTCTTTTTGTCTGGACTTGTTTACCTCTGAGTGCAAGATGTCTGGGAGCTCATCCAATGACGGTGGCATCTAAAGCCCTGGATCCTTCTTCCCACCAAGTACGCACTGAGCTAGCCTAGCATCATAGGGCAGGCTCTCTTTTTGTGAATGTCGGGAGCCAGAGAAGGGATGCCTACTCCCTTTGTGAGGTCAGCTGCCTAAAGTTAGTAGGAAAGTTACCGGGAAACCCTCCCACCACTCCCTCCCCCCGCACCGCACTGGACAAGAGGGGAAACCCAGTTAATAGCCCCCCCAGTGGGGGG